TCTGTCTCAAAAAAAAAAAAAAAAGAAGGAAATTCTGGTAACACTACCTTCAAGACTTAAGTGACATAAGCCAGTCACGAAAAGACAAATGCTATACGATTCCACTTATATGAGGTACCTGGAATAGTCAAATTCATAGAGACAGAAAATAGAATAGTGGTTATCAGGAGATGGGAGGAGAAAGGAAAGGGAGTTATTGTTCATTAGGTATGAAGTTTCAGTTTGGGAAGATGAAAAAGTTTTGGAGATGGACGATGGTGATGTTCACACAACGATGTGAATATACTTAATGCCCCTGAACTGTACATTTAAAAGTGGTTAAGATGGTAAATTTTACATTATAAATATTTTGTCAAATTTTAAAAAATCCCCCCAATATAACATACATTGAGAAAAGTGCATTATACCAGCATATCCAGTTTAACAAATAATTATTAAGCAAATATATGTGTAATCGCCACCTGGCCCAAGAAATAAAATATTATCATAGGGTACCCCTGTTTCCCTCCCCATTACAACCCTCTTCTTCCTTCCTGGTTAACCACTATCGTGGCTGTAACATTTGGTTTTAAAAAATCAAGACTGTGATGTGATAATGCAGGATAAGTTAAATCAACACTACAAAATGCAACAAATTATTTCTTTAAATTCCAGTATTTTCCATAGATGCAAAAAAAAAAAAAAAACAACTTTAGTAACTTTTAAAGTGCTCTTTCCTCTTTTCCTTTGCTCTTGAAACTCTTCACATTCTAAAACCTATTTTGGTTCCACAGTTGACCTCACCTGCAGAGTTTAATTTAAAAAAAAAATCTTCAGTGTAGATTTTCATTCCTCCCGCTCTCTCTCGCTTCCAACTACAAAGAAACAATGATTTAAACCCTTTGTGCCCTTTTAGAAAATTACACAGATACCCCATTGTGGAACCCTATAATCCCTTCGTGGAAAGGAAGAGATTAGCATATGAATACAAAGCAAAATGAATCCAGAATACAAAATGATCTACTGGATTGTGAAGCTCTTGTAGTCTTAAAAATGTATTTATTTCCTCTTTTTGTATTGCCCCTTTAGTGGTCAGGGTTAAGGGAATTGAGCTTCCCCTCTGGTTACCCGGAAAAGGATTAAAAAAAAAAAAGCCACCAGATTCTAGGAGGTGCAAAACCAACAGATGGCTCCCAGCGCCAGTGGAAGCGCCAGTGGAATCTGCTACACTCGACATGAGCTTGCTTGCCGGCGAGGAGTGTAGAAAGTGCTGTTCGCAGACTGCGTGGTAAGGGAGAGAAAGCGACAGAAGAGAGAGCCATAGTGCTGACGTTGAAGGCCCGGCCCTGTGAGGTTGCATAGGGTAAGTGGCGTTGGCCAGGAGGCAGTGGCGAAGGGGAAGGAAAGAGGATTTGGGCTAGGGGCGGGGCTTGCGGCACAGCGTGGCTCCTGATTGCTGGATTGCGGCTGCCAATCTCGCAGAATCGCTCGGTTAACCAGTGCGCTGGCGAGACGCGTTCAGATATACTGAGTGAGCCCTGAGAAGCAGCCTCAGATCCTGACGGTGCAGCAACTCGCAGCCTCAGCCAGGGAGTCCCAGCCGCTTTCAATGGAGGAGAAGCCCGGCCAGCCACAGCCTCAGCACCATCACAGCCATCACCATCCGCACCATCACCCCCAGCAGCAGCAGCAGCAGCAGCAGCCGCAGCCGCACCACCACCACCATTATTATTTCTACAACCACAACCACAACCATCACCACCACCACCATCACCAGCAGCCTCACCAATACCTGCAGCATGGAGCCGAGGGCAGCCCCAAGGCCCAGCCAAAGCCGCTGAAACATGAGCAGAAACACACCCTCCAGCAGCACCAGGAAACGCCGAAGAAGAAAACAGGTCTGGGAGGGAGGACGGGTGGGGGAAGGGGATTGGAGGTGGGGGACAGGGGAGGTGGGGGTGGGGCTGGATCAGAGAAGCGCGGACGGGGTCGGGGTGCATTTATGTGTCCTCTGGATCTGGGGGTGTCCCCTTTCGTCTTCTCAAAGCTCGGGCTGATCAGTGGGGTTTGCAGCGCTCTCCTTCCTTTCAGCATGGGAGAGGCCCAACCAGGCCAGCGTGATCTTCCCGGCCCCCGCCCCGGCTGAGGGAGACCCGCAGGGTCGGCCTTCGAAATCCAACCTTATTATTCTTTTCTTGGTCACCTAACTGCAGCCCTGGAGTTACCTTAATTTGGGGGCCCTGAGATGGGGTGAACCTACCCCCCCAAAAAAGATCCCTCGAGGTGTAACTCAGGAAGGCCTAGCGAATCCTGACTGGGGTGGTGTCGCGAGACCCTTTTGCAGGCGGCGAGGAGTGGGTAGGTGGGCTGAGTTGAGGAAGTGTCCCTCACCCGCCACCCCAAGCCCACCTGTGGCCTTGGGGTTCCCCGTTTTGGGGGTGCTCTTGAAACCCCTCGCCTCACGGGTCATTCCCACCCCTAAACGCCTTTTTTGGACTCCGGACCCCGCAGTCTCTCCCCGTGGCTCCTCCCGAGGCCGGCGCCCCGGGCCCGCTCCCCCCAGAGCCGGCGCGGCTGGAATGTTCTCTCCTCCTCGCGGGGCCGCTTCCTGTCCGCCATGTTGGAAGCCGATTCCTGTCACCGACTCCGGCCCACTGAGGAGCGGAGGGGGAAGGGTGTCGAGGGGCACAAGGCGCAACCGAGCCGGGTTACCCGGGATCCCCACCGGCCGTCGCCTCGCCCCCTGCACTGCGGGGGCGCCGCCGCCCCCCGCCCCGCTGCCGCCCCTCCCCCCGTCGCCGGCCTGGGTTGTGTAACCCGGTGGCGGCCGCGCGGCCCCGGGCGGGTCCCTGGGGTGAGGGGCGGGGGCGGTTGGGGTGGGGGAGGGAAGCGGCCACGAGGGGAGCGGCCTGCGCCGGGCCTCGCGCGCCGGCGGCCGCGTTTCCCGCTCCCGGCTGCGGCGGGAGGCGCGGGCGGTCGGGGCGGGCGGCCGGCCTCGAAGCCGAGCTGAGGGGGAAGGAGGCCGCGGGCGGCGGCCGCGGCGCTCCTCCGGGCAGGAGGGCTGGGGGGGCGGCGGGGGGATTCATTTTGGGTAGAGGCGGTGCCTGAGGCCGGGTGGGGTACCCAGCGGGAACCAAGCTCCCCGGTCACGAGTTTCTTTGCCACAGGAACCTCGTCTCCTGCCAGGTTCGCTCACGACTCCGCCTCTGAGCCTTTCGCCTGGGCCCTTTCCTTCTAGCGGCTCATTTTCTATCAAAAAAAAAAAAAAACTTATTCTATCCTCCTGCCCCCCCGACACTTACCTCCTGAGCTTGGGTAATGTCTTTGAGTGGGGGGATTAAAAAAAATGTTTGGATGGGAAAAGGGCGAGTTTTTTTGACCCCTCTTTCTTGTCCTTAAGGGTGAACCGAAGTGGCTTATCCATGAGGTCAGATCACTACCATCTTGCTTCGAATGAGGCTGTTTTCCGTGTTAAAGGGAAAGGTGTTTTTCACATTTTGAAACCTATCGATCCCAAGACTAATTTTAACAAACGTGAAATTGAGGGTGAAAGTCATATTAGAAAATATGTGAGAAGAAATGAGCTGAAAAGTTTATAACCAAGCAGATTTCAAAAAATAAGGATTCTTTATAAATTGAAGAGATATGAAGAGTATGGTAAGAAAGTGAATGCTAAACCGAGCATATCAAATTTGATACGAGCAGTTATTGGGACTTGGAGAGAAACTAACAGCTTTTCTATTGCAGACTTAATGTAACTTGAAGACTGAAATTGGAGTGTCAGATTTTCCATTTTGGGGGTTAGTGGGGACCTATGGTATGCAATGGAAGGGAACATATAATGTGCATTTTAAGTGTTTAATCCTAAGGATTTGGAGCAGTTTAAAAACTGTTAGGAACTATACAACAACTAAATCTTTTGCCGTGAGATCATTTTCAAAAGATGAGGAAGATTACTTATGATTGCTTGGAATATAAGGCAATATTACTGTTCAGATTGAAAAATTGTATTTTATTGGTAAGGTTAATATACTCCTGCAGGACTCCTCTGCATATAGAAGCAGCCCCTGAACCCTTCAAGGTGGCATTCCTCAAAGTATGTCCCATCCTGGAAAGGGATTCAGAGGGGAAACTGGGCTTAGCAATTTTGACAGAATGTAAACAATTTGGGGTGAACAATTTTTCATATGCGGCCTGGCCACAGTGCTGTTGCTTCCACATAGGAAATGCTAATAAACAGGAATAACTTAATATTTTGAAATGTATTTGTAGTATGTTGAGGTGGTCTGTATTTATGGCCCATTGCCCACAAACCTATAAGGAGGAACGATTTTTCTTTAACCAGAAGAGGGCGCAAGAGAAGGCCAAATGTGTTGAGTAATTTCAATTTCTAATTCAAAAGCTAGATTTATCAGGACTCAAGTTTTGCTGAGTCTATTTGAAGTAGGGCTAGCCTGGCAGCCCTAAATAATAAAAACACTAGGCGTTCTTTAATTTCTTTCATTAATTCTATAATGTTGACAGTCTTAAATACTAAGCTTTAAAAAGAAAACGTCTCTGGCATACTTTTTATATACCAACAAGGTTGTCATGGAGAAGTTTTATGTAGTTAAATGAGAAAGGCTTTTTGTTATTAAAAATTGGAGGTGGGAGTATAGTGGCTTCTGAGCTGTTTTTCATTGTTTGGTGATTTCTGATATCTGAGCCATTTAATATTAGTAGTCTTGGGAAAAATTGTAGTCCACTTAAAAGACTTTGCTTTGGTTTAGCTTAGTTTGGACGTTGGATTTTTTTAAATTTATTTTTTATTTTTTTGCTGTTTGAGATTGCTTACCTTTAATTGAGATCTGAAAAGTTATGACTAATGGGCCCGAGGGTACAGATCTTTGTTTAACCTGTTAGCACGTTAAATGATATGAGTAGTTCTTGTCTTTGGTCCAGAGTTACAAAAGGGTAAAGTTACATCTGTTATAAATGTTAGCTGGGTGCACCTGTAGTCCCAGCTACTCTGGAGGCTGAGGCAGGAGGATCATTTGAGTCCAGGAGTTCAAGACCAGCCTGAGCAACATAGACTTTGTCTCAGAAAAAAAAAAAAAAACCACACAAAAAAAGTTGAGAGTCTCTATTTAGGAGCTTTCTGCTTATCTAAAGAAAAAAGAACGTTTTAGAAACATTCTAAGCAATGATCTCTTTCTTCCTGTTTAATAGTTAGAATTTTTCTATCAAAATTTTGATTTGATTGGCTATCATAGCTTTTCCAGCAGCCAAAAAATGGAAATATAACTTTTAGTGTTTCTACCTATTTCTCTGATGTAGAGAGACTTAAAATTATAGTAATCCCTATTGTAAATCTTCTAGACTGTTTTATTACACATCGAGTTATTTTGGAGCAATGGTTTTCAAACTTAAAAAAAGTAGTATCTTGTATATTCTTAAAATTGAGGACCTCCAAAGAGCTTTCGATGTAGGTTGTATCTATTGATATTTACCATATAGGACATTAAAACAGAGAAAATTTCCAAAAAATAGTATACAAACTCTTGTGACTTAACCTTCACAGGCCGAAGACCTAAAAGAGTAAATGAAAGTAATAAAGGCAAATAACTTAGTATACCTATTGGGCCTCCACCTCTACTCCCCCAAAAAGCTGCCTTAAATGAATGTGTATGTGTATATCCTTCTGTTGTGTATTTCTAATGACTTGATTTCAGTATGCTTTTGTGAACATTTCATGAAATATTAGTAGATAACTAATAACCACTTTTACTAGTAAGGCAATGGGAAAAGTTGATGATGCAATTGAATCACCTATAGTATTAGAGTTAACTTTATGGTGGTTGAAGGTCTTTAATTAAACTCGAGTACCATAATGTTTTGTTTTGTTTTTTTTTTTTTTGAGACAGAGTCTCACTGTGTTGCCCGGGCTAGAGTGCCGTGGCGTCATCCTAGCTCACAGCAACCTCAAACTCCTGGGCTCAAGCGATCCTTCTGCCTCAGCCTCCCGAGTAGCTGGGACTACAGGCATGTGCCACCATGCCCGGCTAATTTTTTCTGTGTATTTTTAGTTGTCCAGTTAATTTCTTTGTATTTTTAGTAGAGACGGGATCTCGCTCTTGCTCAGGCTGGTTTCGAACTCCTGAGCTCAAACAATCCGCCCGCCTCGGCCTCCCAGAGAGCTAGGATTACAGGCGTGAGCCACCGCGCCTGGCCCATAATGTTTTTTAAATTAGGTTCTTTTCATTGTAGCTTTGTTAGTAAATATTTTCTTGCTGCATCTTTTGAGTAGGCACTGTTGCATAGTGGTAGGAAACCATGGATTCCAGAGAGACTGGAGTTTGATTTCCAATTTTACTACTTTGTGATTTGGGCAAGTTACTTCATCTCTCTGCAAATCTGTTTACCCAAAAGACAAATGAGGAAAATATTTTTTATAAGGGATAGAAACACTGATACATAGGTATTTTGGTTTCATGTGTTAATAGTATGATCTAATGTCTGGGCAGTGGTCAAAGTGAAAAAATTCACAGTGTTAGTGGTTTTGTTTTTGTTTTTGTTTTTTTTAAGAGGAGGGTCTCACTATGTTTCCCAGGCTAGAGTGCATTGACTGTTCATAGGCATGATCATAGCACACTTACAGCCTCAAACTCCTGGGCTCAAGTGACTCCTGCCTCAGCCTCCTGAGTAGCTGGGACTTTACACCTGGTTTGATTGATTTTTTTTAATTTTATTTTTTATCTGATAGATGCACTGGAAACTGCTTAGGGTTACCTACCACCAGCCATTTATGGTTTCATAGAAATGAAATCTTTAATTTCCTTCTAATAATTACTATCTCAGTAAAACTTGATTTTTGCTCTGCTTTGAATTGTAAAGAAAATTTTATAACAGTTTTGTGAGACTGATGGGTAGGTTGAATCTGTTAGATGAGAGGTGAGAGGTATTATGACACACTGCTTAAAAGATCATGTTCTCGCTGACCTCAGACTTTGGTTTGAATCATGGCTCAGATTTGTTTAGGAGTGGATTCCATTTCCTAATCTGTAAAATGGAGCTGACAAGTGTCTTCCCACAGAGATGTGAAATAATAATGTATAAAACTATAGCTCATAACATAGTGTTTAGCATACATGAAAGAAACAGTCCTTAAATATTAGGCACTACTGTAATTTACATATTGTGATTTTTAAAAAAACTTTTTTTTTTTTTTTCTTTCTCCCCAGGCTATGGTGAACTAAACGGTAATGCTGGAGAAAGAGAAATATCTTTAAAGAGTCTGGGTTCTGATGAAGCTACCAGCCCTATTTCCAGGGTCCTCAATGGCAACCAGCAAGTTGTAGACACTAGCCTAAAACAGACTGTAAAGGCCAGCACCTTTGGGAAAGCAGGAATTAAAACCAAGAATTTCATTCAGAAAAACAGTATGGACAAAAAGAATGGGAAGTCTTATGAAAATAAATCTGGAGAGAATCAGTCTGTAGATAAGACTGATACTGTAGCAATTCCAAATGGTGTTGTAACAAATAATTCTGGCTATATTACCAATGGTTATATGGGTAAAGGAGTAGATAATGATGGTAGTGGATCTGAGAGCGGATATACCACTCCTAAAAAAAGGAAAGCTAGGCGCAATAGTGCCAAGGGTTGTGAAAACCTTAATTTAGTGCAGGACAAAATAATGCAACAAGAGACCAGTGTCCCAACCTTAAAACAAGGACTTGAAACTTTCAAGCCTGACTATAGTGAACAAAAGGGAAATCGAGTAGATGGTTCAAAGCCCATTTGGAAGTATGAAACGGGGCCTGGAGGAACAAGTCGAGGAAAACCTGCTGTGGGTGATATGCTTCGAAAAAGCTCAGATATTAAACCTGGTATAAGCAGCAAAAAGTTTGATGATCGACCCAAAGGAAAGCATGCTTCAGCTGTTGCCTCCAAAGAGGACTCGTGGACACTATTTAAACCACCTCCAGTTTTTCCAGTGGACAACAGCAGTGCTAAAATAGTTCCTAAAATAAGTTATGCAAGCAAAGTTAAGGAAAACCTCAATAAAACCATCCAGAACTCTTCTGTGTCACCATCTTCGTCTTCATCCTCTTCATCATCTACTGGGGAAACTCAGACCCAATCTTCAAGTCGGTTATCCCAGGTTCCTATGTCAGCGCTGAAATCTGTTACTTCTGCCAGCTTTTCTAATGGGCCTGTTTTAGCAGGGACTGATGCAAGTGTGTATCCTCCAGGGGGTCAGCCACTGCTAACTACTGCTGCTAATACTCTAACACCCATCTCTTCTGGGACTGATTCAGTTCTCCAGGACATGAGTCTAACTTCAGCAGCTGTTGAACAGATTAAGTCTAGCCTTTTTATCTACCCTTCAAATATGCAAACTGTGCTGTTAAGCACAGCACAAGTGGATCTGCCCTCTCAGACAGATCAGCAAAACCTGGGGGATATCTTCCAGAATCAGTGGGGTTTATCATTTATAAATGAGCCCAGTGCTGGCCCTGAGACTGTTATTGGGAAGTCATCAGATCATAAAGTGATGGAGGTGACATTTCAAGGAGAATATCCTGCCGCTTTGGTTTCACAGGGTGCTGAAATAATCCCCTCAGGAACTGAGCATCCTGTGTTTCCCAAGGCTTATGAGCTGGAGAAACGGACTAGTCCTCAAGTTCTGGGTAGCATTCTAAAATCTGGGACTACTAATGAGAGTGGAGCCTTATCTTTGGAACCCAGTCATATAGGTGACCTGCAAAAAGCAGACACCAGTAGTCAAGGTGCTTTAGTGTTTCTCTCAAAGGACTACGAGATAGAAAATCAAAATCCTCTGGCCTCTCCTACGAACACTTTGTTAGGCTCCGCCAAAGAACAGAGATACCAGAGAGGCCTAGAAAGAAATGATAGCTGGGGTTCTTTTGACCTGAGGGCTGCTATTGTATATCACACTAAAGGTAACTATACAAAGATTTTTATTAGCCAAATTAATATGTATTTATTAGTAGTTTGTATTAAGAGTTAATAGTTCAGAGCTTACTTGAGAGTGACAATGTGGGTAAGCAGTTACCATCAAACTCTAATTCAGGGTCTTTGGAAATAGTTTGAGTAAAGTTTAAAAGGAATGTTCATCTTTCCAGCTTAAAAGCATTTTTAAAAAATATATAGACAAATAAAATTGACCTGCCTGGTTCAGAGAATAAAGACAGGTTGCGGGGGGACTTGGCTAAAGGTGTGATGTTAGTTTATCTTGGGCACACTTAAGAATTTTTTTCTTAGAACAGATGTTTCTTCTCCTTTGCTTTTTATGTCATATACCTTATTAGTGAGCTCATTTAATAGTTCTAATTTGCTTAAAATGAGTAGGAGCGATGTATCTGAGGAGGAGTCTAAAAAAGATGGAGTGTCAAACTTTTTTCTCTTAAAAGAAGAAATAATCGGTGCTGAGTGGTAACTAGAAAATAATTTAGACAAATTACAATGTCAAGCATGATTAGCATACTAGAGGCCAGGCTCTTAGGGGTTTGTACTTCTCATAGCCCCAAAATCCATGTTTAAAGAAAACCAGCTATCTTCCATGATAACTTCCATGCTAGTAACTTTCTTAGAATATGGTTTATTTGTATCTGAAAGAAAAATTCGCTGTATGGCATAATTGTAATTTAAATCATTAGCGCAAACAATGAGGTTTAATGAATGATGTTTATAACTTTTTGCTTTTTAGAACAGTGGTTTTCAGTTTTCCCACCCTATCCACCTCCCTTTCCCCTCCTTCCCTAACAGATCCATACTCCATTCATGCATAAACACACCTAATATATACTGCACATTCCCATGTTTAAAAGTGGCTTAGGCAGTGACTTGGAACTGCAGGGAAGGGGGAGCATATCAGATTGTGGGAATGAAGTAATTATCATATTCTCCCTGGAAGAAATCATAGCCTTAGAGATAAATAACAAAGCTTGGGGCTTTGAAGCAAGTTTCCTAGTCTACATACCTTTCCTTATCTGCAAACTAAAAGACATTTAGTACGATAAACAGATGTCATTTTCATATGATTTTCCTTCCTTTAAAAATAGGAGTAAATAGAATTGCCTTACAGAAGTTTAAGAATAGGAATCCTGCAGATACAATTTACCTATTTTCACTTGTTCTCCAGCTCTGCTCTTTGGAAGTAAATACAGAAACTAGAATTTTTAGCAAAATTAAGGCAAAAAAGAAATGCTCAGTTTCTTAAGACATGGTTAATTATATAAAAGTTTATGCCAGGAGAGTTGGGTGTTTTGGGTGTTACTTTCTTTTTTCTTTGTTTTTTTTTTACATTTAGCCAAACAGACCAAGATTTTGTGTCATTTTCTGTTCCATCTGCCCTCCAGAGACTATTACTGGAAATGTTTACCAAAGTATCTTGTCATTCTGTGAGCCTGAGAGGATATCTTGTGTAATGTTTTCTCACCACCTCCAAAAAATTGCCAGATATATTGTTTCATTAGGTGGTTGGTGGATGTTTTCGTGTATGATTTCTATTATGTAGAATTGCAGGCCTTTTAAAATGGGGATAGTCACTTGAGTTTTTTTCCTAGTGCTTATGCATATACCCTATAGATAGGCTAACTAAAAATGAAATCAACGTTATTTAGATAAATTAAATGCCCCTACATGGATGCAGTTATGTTTAGTTGGTGTTACTGAAAAGATTTGCTGTAGTAAAGTGCATCAGCTTGAGTTTTTATAGTTGGATATTACTGAAATTAATCAGATTGGTATTGTGATTGGTTCCTCTCCAAAAAACAATAGATAATATTCAGTTCGATTAGGACCCAGAGTGGCAAGTTCTTTGAATTCTTTCCAAATGTTGATGGGTCCATTAGCCCACTCATTTTCTCTTTGCTTGGATTTGTTTTGAATCACAACCTTTTGAAGACCTGAAGATCTTTTTTTTATAAGTGAAGGCTCCCATCCCCAAGTTTTCTTAAACACTACAAAAGGTAATAATCAGTTGGACTTCCTGGAATATCCTTTAAGAGCACCTGTATTATTTCCTTAGTCTATTAGTGTAGTCTTGTCTTTAAGTGAGTTGAAATTAGGCTTAGAATTGGAACTTTTGTGCATTTCTCCTAACTTCAAAAATAAGCCCTTCAACAGCTTAATTTGGAGATAGTAGGTAAGAGGGTACACTATGTCACTTAAGTAGGAGTGGCACATTATTTATTTACTTTCTTGATTATAAATCCATATAAAGAAAAGATGCTTATTTGGCTCATGGTTTTAAAGGCTGGTGTCAAAGACTCATGGTTTTGAAGGTCCTGCTGGTAACTTATGGCAAAAGCTTTCGTACTAAAAAGTTTTTAGATTAAACATAAACAATTACTTGCAGGTTTAGAAGTACTATGGATTTTTTAGGGCACAATGGCTCTTGCCTGTAATCCTAGCACTTTGGTGAGCTGAGACAGGAGGATCGCTTGAGGCCAGGAGTTCAAGACCAACCTGAGCAACATAGTGAGACTCTGTCTCTACAAAAAATAGAAAAATTACCTGGGAGTGGTGGTGTGTACCTGTAGTCCTAGCTATTCAGGAGACAGAGGATCACTTGAGCCTAGGATTTTGAGGTTGCAATGACCTATGATCATGCCACTTCCCTCATGCCCTGGGAACAAAGCAAGACCCTGTCTCCCTCCAAAAATTAATCTGAATGTTCAGGACAATTGAGTGTATGAAATGAAGATAAAGTGTAAAAAAGGGATTTGTGGGAATTCTAGTTCTTGGGATTTTTTTTCTAGCTTTTGATGTATATTATGCTGCTAACTTTTCTTAATAAATAAGACCTGATCTTTGTGTTATCTAGAGGAATATTGTACCATTACACAGCAGTGTGAGTATTCTCTTTCCCCATTCATCTCAAGTCATAGTTACGAAGCAAAGCTTTAAAGTGATGTCTTTTAAACTTGATTATAAAAAACATGTTTGTTTTTTTTTTTTAAACAAGATCTCACTCTGTTGTCTGGCCTAGAATGCAGTGGCATCATCATAGCTCGCTGCAACCTCAAACTCCTGGGCTAGAGCAATCCTCCCTCCTCAGCCTCCTTGAGTAGCTGAGATTACAGGCATGTGCCACTATGCCCAGCTAATTTTTTTTTTTTTCTATTTAAGTGTGGAGCCAGTAATATAGTGAACCCCAATGTACGCATCATCCAGCTTGAGCATTTCAAAAGCATTCTTATTCTTGTTTCACCTATCCATCTCTACATTCTTACACCCCTAATTTTTTTTATTTTGGTAAAATGTAGAAAGCATAAAGTTTATTATCTTAACCATTTTTGAGTGCATAGTTCAGTGGTCTTAAATAGTGGTGTGTAACTATCTCCAGAACTCTTCATCTTGTAAAACAAACTCTATACTCATTAAATAATAACTCTCCATTTCACCCTTCCCCTCCACCCCTGGCAACCACCATTTTACTTTGTCTCAATGATTTTGACTAGAAGTAGTTCATGTAAGTGGAATTAATACAGTATTTGCTTTTTTGTGACTGGCTTATTTTCATTTAAGCATAATGTTCTCAAGGTTCATTCCTTTTAAAGGCTGAATAATATTTTGTTGTATGTATATAAAACATTTTCTTTATCGATTCTTCTGCGATGGACGCTGGGGGTTGCTGCCACATTTTAGCTATTGTGAATCATGGCAGCATGAACATGGGTATAGAAATAGCTCTTCAAGACCCTGCTTTTAATTCTTTTGGGTATATATCCTGAAGTGGAATTGCTAGATCATGTGATAATCCTGTTTACGTTTTTGAGGAACTGCCATACTGTTTTCCACAAAGATTGTGCAATTTTACATTGCCACCAACAGTGTACAAGGATTCCAATTACTCCACATCCTTGCCAACATGCGTTTTCCGGTTTTTTGATAGTAGCCATCCAAAAGAGTGTGAGAGGTGGTATCTAATTGAAGTTTTGATTTGCATTTCCCCAATGACGAGTGATGTTGAACACCTTTTCATGTGCTTATTAGCCATTTGTGTATCATCTTTGAAGAAGTGTATGTCTAAGTCCTTTGCCAAATTTTGAACCCAGTTTTTGTTGAGTGTTAGGAGTTCTCCATACATTCTGGATGTTAATCTGTTATCAGCTCTATGATTTGCAAGTACTTTCTCCCAGTATGTGGGCTGTTGATAATACACATTTTAAAATTTTCATGAAGTCCAGTTTGTCTATTTTTTCTTTCGTTGCCCATGCCTTGGTGTCATATCCAAATTCCAGATATCGCACCATTTTACCAGTTAATACTTTTGAGTATGTTAGAGTGATATAACTCTGCCTCCTTCACAGTAGTTATTCAGAATGCTTATTTTATTTTTTTGAGACAGACTCTTGCTCTGTTGCCTGGGTTAGAGTGCCATGGTGACAGCCTGGCTCACAGCAATCTCAAACTCTTGGGCTCAGGCGATCCTCTTGCCTCAGCCTCCCAAATCGCTGGGACTACAGGCATGCCCCACCACACCCAGCTAATTTTTACTATTTTTAGTAGAGACAGGGGTCTCACTCTTGGCTCAGGCTGGTCTCGAACTCCTGAGCTCAGGCGATCCTCCCACTTCGGCTTCCCAGAGTGCTAGGATTACAGGCATGAGCCACCGAGCCCAGCCAGAATGCTTAGTTTAGTGTAACTGTGATTTGTTTTCAAAAGCTAGCACTAGGTCCTAACTATTCGAGATGAATTTAATGGTCTAATGTCATTTGAAGCCGAGTCTGTTGATATAAGATAGATGGATGTGAGTTGTATGTTTGGTCAAAATGCTAATTTAAACTCGGTTCATTTATCTTGCCTGGCTAATAATGTAGTGAAGGATACCAGGCATTCAAAATGCAAACATTTTTGGAATATTCATTAACAAATAGATATGGTAAATTTGACCTAGCACATAGAGAGGCAGGGGAGATGAATGAAATTTATC